GAATAGGGGGATTGACCGTCACATTATAACGCCACTACGGCTGAAAAGGAGAGCATGTTTGCTGTGATGGGGACTCAGATTTTCATTCGAGCGCCCTAACCACCTGTCCATGCCGGGCCCGAGTTTTATTAAAATGAGCTTTATATGTTTTAATGTTGTTTTAATTCATCTGCTCTCGTGAGTAGCCACCTACTGATAAATCTCAAAAATTTCCATCGGTTTCAAGTATAAAACATAACGTTGACTCCCATTACACGTGGATTTTGCCTGAATAATTCGGTTTATAAAATGAAAGTAAAAACTTAATTGACTTTTTTAAATAAATATGTTTCTATATGATGATTAATTTAGTGACTATGGGCTTCTGGTCTTAAAGACGCTTTACTAGAAAAGGCAGAACGATGAGAATGGCACTGCCTTTCTTCTCAAGATACTTGTTACGGTTTTATAATTAACATCGTATAAAAGAACTATAGATCAGGTATGTAAATGTCGGTGATTTCCGGAAATGTATTCGTCATTTTATTAATTTAATTAATTACAGTACGTCAACACTATTGTTACATAAGTGTTTTAGAATATAGACGAGTGAAATAAGTATATTGTTGTTTCCAAATACATTATTCTTGTTTTCATATTGAATTTATTAACTGAAAGGTTATATAACAATGGACCACAAACTTTAGGAATTAAATTTATTCCATAGTATAGGACACAAGGCACTCGACTCGCTCTCTGAGGGTCGCGGGTTCGAATCCACGTCACACCAAACATGCTCGCCCTTTCAGCCGTGGGGGCGTTATAATGTGACGGTCAATCCCACTATTCGTTGGTAAAAGAGTAGCCCAAGAGTTGACGATGGGTGGTGATGACTAGCGGCCTTCCCTCTAGTCTTTCACTGCTAAATTAGGGACGGCTAGCGCAGATAGCCCTCGTGTAGCTTTGCGCGAAATTCAAAAACAAACAAGTATGGGACACAGAAGCAAATATAATCTGAGAAGTTTGACATTGGACAGTTCAGTGATTAAAAGACAATCAATCGAACAGTAAGTATTCGGAATAAGCTTAGCATTAAGGCATTTTAATTTAATATTATAAAAAGAAAAGAAAATGAACCAACTTCTGAATTGGACTTAAAGTAGAAACTATTGTTTTTATAGTGGAATGAATCTACAATGGACCTCATTTATTTTAAATTAAAATCTAATTGATTTTTTCCAAAGCAAAAATGAAAAATATCCAAAGTTCAAGACAAACCATTTCAAATTTAAACCACTCTTTAGTAATTCCACTTGTTATCTCTTTGTGAATAATTTTGTGCCTAAAGAAAGCTAGGAAACAAAATTTAAGAGTTCGTTATTTTATACGTACGTGTAAATAAATGTCTGTAGAAACAATAAAACTGAGCAACCTTATATTTAATGAAGTGTTTGTCTGCTTGTGAACACGTATAGAGAGTCTTCAAGTCATTCATCCGATTATAAAACACTTTTACGTGATGATTCTATACGCCTGTAACTTATTACGTAGACAGGTGAACCTCGTCAGATTACAATTATAGAGGATAACACGCGTGTTGTAAACTTACCTACGGAATAAAGTGCACTAGATGTCGCCGCCTTCAAAGTTTGGAGTGGAACACTTGATGCAACGTGAGATTTTAAAGGCTCTATCACATACATATCCACTCGATCGGATCATTTGATCCTAGTGTTCTAAGTAAATGAAGCCCACTCTTTGTCCACTTGATGGGATGCTTTCAACTCGTGTTAATAATTTAAGGACGTCCTGTGTCTAGACGATATTTTACTGTCATGATCGTAAGAGTCTAAGGAGAACATCAGTATAAATTTCAATGGTGCATTTTTTGTTGGGCTATCGTGATGGGCAATTTAATTTATAGAATTTATACGGTGTTTTTGTACTGCAAATACAAATAAAATTTTAGATTAACTATTTATTCCCATACTTCCATCCAGCTAACTGAATGAAAATATTCCTGGACAGTGTGCCTCGTGACAAACAAACAAAAAAAAACAGATTTGAAATGTTTTTTTACACGCCTCTAATTTTAAAAACGAAAAATACGCATAAACAGGAACGAGGAAGGAAAAAATTATGCAATCTGACGTAATTTCCGAAAGAATATTAGTTTTCAAGCTGTTATAGAAATGAGGATATTCTAATTATCTTTATTAAAAGATGTAGGTTATTATTTTTGTAGAGCTTTTTTTTTATGTATATGATTTAAAATTTTGTGCCGTTTGATAAGATTTTAGTATTATAGTTTGTGGCCATTATTGGTAATGCATTTTGTTAAACGTAATATTTGATCATTATTGTTTAGTTTTTGTACATTTCGAAACTAAACCCTTCATCAATTTTACGTGATATTGTACTTAGTTAAAAGTAACGTTTTATTATGATTTTTGTATAGTATTTTATTAAACCTAACTTATGCATCATTGATTGATATTTTACTTTTTTAAATATAACATTTTATCATAATTGTTTGAATATTGTATTTTGTTACATGAAAGTTATCGTTGGTAGTTTATTTTGTAAAACGGAAACTTCTGACACCATTTTATTTTAATTTTCTTACGCCACAACTCCTCATCCTACATCATGATAGCCATCATCTTCTTGTTATGAAACGAAGGGTTATTCTTAGTGTACTGAATTACGTAGAACTGAGTTCATTTGCAACCACGAAGAAGCGGTGATTAGCGTAAAACAAGAATAAGGAATTATCCTTTATAATTTTGCTTTTAACTGATATTACGTAACTTAAGTTGTACTGATTTTCATGATCACAGCGCTTACTGGAGTTTTAAAGTAAACGCCCACTAACCCCAGGACACTAAATTAAACGTTTTTAATGTCCAACGTTTCGGCTAATGCCTTTATGAATAATTATTAATATACATACAGCGATAAAGATTTACACATAAAACTTACTCTAACAGGTTAAGATAATTTATAAAAATTTGCTCGAGTTTATATAGATGGAGACTGGAGAAGGATGGCGCCGTTAAGATAACAATGCTCTTGTTATGAAAAGTACTACGTTAACCAAATTCTACTGTAAAACATTACAATGTAAGTACAAAATAAATAAACTTTAACAAAACTACGACATTATAGAGTTACGCTATAGATCAGTAATTTTAACATTGATAATAATAACATTATCTAGATTTTATGTATATTGCCATCCCTTATTTCTGTTAATCCACGGTTTGTACAGACTCGGCTAAAATGTTTGCATATTTTGTAACAAATAAGATCATTATTATTAAGATGGAATACAAATACACTTAGCGCTGTTAAATTGAGAAATACATGTTATATTAAACATCTACATATGTAATTGTATATTGAGATAGGTTCTATGAACATCATGAACAATTTATTAGAACAGTAAACAACTTTATGAGACACCTGTACCATTTCACCTGTTACAACAAAACCTTACCAAAACATATATAATGACAAAATATAACATCAGATTATTATAAATAGCATTATATTACAACAAAACCTTACCAAAACATATATATGACAAAATATAACATCAGATTATAATAAAAAGCATTTCACCTATTACAACAGAACCTTACCAAAACATATATAATGACAAAATATAACATCAGATTATTATAAATAGCATTTCACCTATTACAACATAACCTTACTAAAACATATAATGACAAAATATAACATCAGATTATTACAAATAGCGTCTGTAACCTTATATAAGTTCATATTAAACGTTTAGTACTTGGTTGGTCCTCCTCGTACTCTAATATCCTCCGCAAGGCGACGTGGCGTGCTGTTGATGAGGTTATTTATATAATCTTAAATTGTCACAACTCAGTTACAGTAGCATCGTTGGGGTCGTGGTTAGCAATTTTTCGGCTTAGTTCTGCCCAACAGTTCTCAATGAGATTACAATTTGGAGACTTTACTGGTCATATGGCAGAAATATCATCTTCATGTGATGCCTGTAGGTGGCGCAATTGACGTTTCCCAGGAGGAAATGAAGAGCAGTTTTTCCACCATAGTGAATAGCTGCCCAAACATGTACTGCACCACCTCTTGTGCATGTTTCCTGTGGGAATGACAGTCTTCCCTCATCTGTTCTCCAGGCAAACATTGAACATGAATTCTACCATTAGCTTTAACAAGTCGGAAACAGGACTCATTTGAAAAGATGACATGTCGTAACTGCAAGTTGGCATGCTGTCTTGCCCAAGTAACACGGTGACGGTGGTGAATTCTGATTCATATCGGTTTACAGAAAGTCCTTCTTGCAAAATAACCTTGTTCAGCCAGCCTCTTACTCACTGTTCTTTTGGATACCCTAGAATGAATGTGTTCATGCCATTCCTGTCATAAGGTGTTGCAAGACTTCTTTCGACCATGATATGTTAACCTGATCAAAACATGGTCATCTCGGGCAGTAGTTTTTCGGCGTCTACCAGTAAACGTTCCTGGAACAACGTTTCCCGTAGTCCGATGACGTTTCAGGATTTTGGATACAGTAACTTGGGGGTACCTTATTGTTCTGGCAATGTCTGTTTGCTTCATACCATTTCTGGACAGTCGAACAATCTGATGCTCTATAACTTCTGGCATGTGACGAGGCATGACTTTATACCAAATACAGACAAATTATCTGAACAAAGCGTTGATCTATTTTGAAATAGATTACATCAAAAGCACACCCTTTTATACCAAAGAGATGTGTGTTTTGACGAACAAATGCACAGAATAACTTATAAAGACCAGAATAACAACTCGTACATGTTTGTCCAATCGTACGCTTCCTTCTACGCAGTAACTACTTCATGCATGTAGACAATAGCATCGATATAGAACAGTATGCAAAATTTTTGATCAAGACTGTTGTTTGGATTAGAAGGGCTTCTATATATTTTATTTCTAAGAATGCCGTAGCACCTGACAGATTTCGGATTTTAAGAGATGGGTGGGAGTAAGCAAAGGTGTGTTCATTATGCATGTGCTCTTACAGGGAATTGGTCTCCACTTTTGATTTCTAGTTATCTCTCGAGTGTGTTTGGTATACATCATGGATAGCTCTTTCTGCTTTTACTGTGTTAAGTTTCTTGCACACTTGACAGGTGGCTTCGTCAACGTACCCCTCCTCAGAAGATTTATCATGCATAGACGTTTTTTTTTACATATTTGTTTCGTATAAGTAGAAGAGTTTAATATGGACTATAATTTTATTCCTTGTTTTTATTTCGTGTAAGTAGTAGGTGTTAACATAGATTGAAAAATTATTCCTTGTTTTTATTTCTTGTAATAAAAAAAGTTAGCATAGATTGGAAAATTATTCCTTGTTTTTATTTCGTGTAAGTATAAGAGGTTAAGTGTAAAGAAAAAGAGGTTAACATAGATTAAAAAATTATTCCTTGTTTTTATTTCGTGTTAGTAAAGGAGGTTAAGTGTAAAGAAAAAGAGGTTAACATAGATTGAAAAATTATTCCTTGTTTTTATTTCGTGTAAGTATAGGAGGTTAAGTGTAAAGAAAGAGAGAGGTTAACATAGATTGAAAAATTATTCCTTGTTTTTATTTCGTGTAAGTAAAAGAGGTTAACGTAGATTGAAAAAATATTCCTTGTTTTTATTTCTTGTAAGTGAAAGAGATTAACATACATTGGGAAAATTATTCATTGCTTTTACTTCTTGTAAGTGGAAAGAGGTTAACATAGACTGAAAAATTATCTCTTGTATTTATTTCGTGTAAGAAAAAGAGGTTAAGTGTAAAGTAAAAGAGGTTAACATAGATTGGAAAATTATTCCTTGTTTTTACTTCCTATATCGTAGCCTTGGTTTGTTAAGTGTTTCACGGATTTCATTAGCTATAGCATGGTATATTAAAAGTAACTTTCTTTTCTTGGATGTGGTTTTTGTGATGCTTATGTTTAGAAACTAGTCTAGTTTTTGTTTTTAATTCTTAAAAGGTTTTGTCAGTGAAGAATTTCGGATATCCATTGCTCTAAAGGATAATTCTCTAGTCTTGTTTTGCGCCTGTTTTCGCAAAGAATGACTCCACGGTTCATTGTGAAGGATGATGTGTGTGTTAAGTTACTGTACACACTAATGAACAGCGATTTCGTTTTTCATATTAAAGAGCGTGTTTACAAAAGAAAGTTTGTTGGATCTAATACCGTGTTGAAGGGTAAATTTGATATACTCATATTGAATGTTTAAGAAGTTGTGAAATTTTAGGAGGTTGTCAAGGTCATAGTTTCGCATTCCAAAAATTCCATCAATAAAGCGATATCATCTGTTAACTTTCTCTTCTGTTTGTTCTAACCACTAGTAGGTTGCTTTGGTTTAAAAGATATGCATGAAAACGACTTACAAGGCCAATTCTAATGTATTCCTCCTGGGCATGCCTTTGGTTTGTAGGAAAATCTATTCTCCGACAAAAAATAACCAGAAAACATGTTAGTGCCATCTCAATTAGATTTGGAAAAAATTTATGTTGTCAGTGCCAGTTCAGAGAAAATTCATAACGGATTGATTTCCTTCTTCTGGAACTCCAGTCATTTTCATATCCTTGTTTTACAGGTTGCAGAATTATCTCGCCAAAGTACTTACTAAGTTTTTAGTACGTATACGTATTATTATAGGCATACGTGACAAGTATTAAACATGAGGTCCCCTGGTAGTTCGGAGCTAAAATCTGGGCTCGATTCTGTGGTGATCAGAGCCCATTGTAACCATAACATTAAACGTGAGATTCATAAGCGAAAAACAAATAAAATGCTAAGTGGACTAGGAGTTCCTAATTTCGAACTGACAGTCTAGTCAATAGTGCCCACCATCAACTCTTGAGCTACTCTAATCAAATAGTGAAATTTGATCCTCACTCTTATAACACAACCACGGCCCCAATGTGCGGAGTGGGATTTTGTTATGACAACGGGACGCAAACCATGGATCCTCAGATCCACAGACCACTTTGTTAGATAAAACAGTAAAACAAAACGAGTGTTTCTTTTCTATATTTCGTGTTAATTAAATACGAATCAGCCTAAAGGAATTTTTGGTAAAAAAATACTTTTATATAATATGTTAGTAGCAAACAATATAATTCATAATATTCATCTCAGCATGTAATATTCTTTTATATGAGTTTTAGATAGAATAGATTATACTGAACTGGATCCATTGTATAAAAATTTGATTTTTTTGCCTGCAGATTTGACATTCTTTTTCATGCCCGTATATAGATAATTGTGTAGGCAAATGTACCTACATATTTTTAAACATTAAACTGCTTTAAAAATAATTATATATAAATTAACAGTACATGTATTTTTATTTAAAAAACTCAAAAACTTTAAACGTATTTTGAGATAGATAGAAAATGTAGGCACAGTACTCAAATTCAGCTAGCTTATTTAGTATACCAGCATTTCCCAAACCTTCCTTTAATAAATATGGTTTCTTGCGAACGCCCTCTATCTTTTTTTATATTAAATGAGTGAAAAAATTAATTACGTGACGAGATATAACACACAGGTATACATTAAAATTATATATTTGTTGTAGTAATTACTTATTAATTTCATTAATAAAAAACATTAAAACGCTTAATTTTTCATTATCGCACTATTGACTCTTTCCCAATCGTTCACGCCCTCAAGAAATCATTCGCGCCACTTCTGGGATGGAGCCCTCCCAGAGTCCTCCATACATGGTCGCTTACCTATTAACCTTTTTTTATTTTTTTTCTGGATTTGAGGGATACATAAGAAAATGAAAAGTGTTCAGTGCCCACTTACCCCACCCACCATGGAGTCCTACGAGGGGATGCACTACAATGCCAAACAAACACCAGGGATTCGTGAGCACTATATCCAAACACTAGCATCAGACACAATGTCCACAACTCATGTTGAGAACGCCCAACAATGGTACTTGGTTGACCCTAGCACAATTGACTGTCCTTGGGGGAGCCACTCCAAGGCCACCCGTCTACAGGAATTCAATGCCAAAGTGGTTTGTTAAAGTGCCACTCACACTTCTCAACCACCAGGATGCCATTTTTACGGTAGTAATGCGCCAGATAATATATTTTTGAAGGGAAATACATTAGAAATAAATTTTCTCATAAACTTCAGCTTTAACCAATACAAAAAAGAAACACATACACATCCTTCCAAAACAAATTTAATCAGGCAGTTATGAATATATGTATATATATATAAAACAATTGGACTTTGATTTGACTAAATTTTTTCGTGATCAGTGAACACTAGTTTCAAAACTGTAAGCCATCTTTTATACCACATTGAAAAAATCCGTCTGATCCTCGTAGACACTCAATCTCGGACCTGGTTAGTTCTTGGAAAGGTGACCATCTGGAAATACCAGGTGATGATGGCACTATTACTTTTTTGGCCAGGCATAGCCAGATGGTTAGGGCGCTCGACTCGCAATCTGAGGGTCGCGGGTTCGAATCCCTGTCACACCAAACATGCTCGCCCTTTCAGCCGTGGGGGCGTTATAATGTGACGGTCAATCCCACTATTCGTTGGTAAAAGAGTAGCCCAAGAGTTGGCGGTGGGTGGTGTTGAATAGCTGCCCTCCCTCTAGTCTTACACTGCTAAATTAGGGACGGCTAGCGCAGATAGCCCTCGTGTAGCTTTGCGCGAAATTCAAAAAACAAACAAAACAAACAAACTTCTAACAAAGGATAGGAAATTGTGCTTTTATTTATTTTTCTTAGCAAAATAACCATTAAAACGCAATAAAAATACATAATGGTACCAACACTTAAAGAAAGACGTACTGTTTTCAAGAATTCTATCAATATGAAATTAGATTGGGAGGAGTGTCCAATTCCCCCTCATGATCTTCTTCATGTCATCCTGTATCACTGTGTAAAGTTGTGCTGATTTGATAGTTTTTCCGAAATTAAATATGAAATTAGAGGGGGAGTCCAACCCCCAACCCCCCATGACCTTCTTCGTGTCATCCTGTATCACTATGTCATGTTTGGTGCTGATTAATCAAGAAATGTGGAAACGTATAAGGAACATATATATACACACACACGCACATATTGATGTTGATTTATATCGATTCTCAAGCATCAATCTTACTGTGATGCCATGTCACACAAAGTACTGATCTAATGAAGTGTACCGTTCGTAAACGCGTAAAATATGAACATATTTGATGTAAGTGAACTTTATGATTAGCAACGCGTATAAATATATATTTCATAGCAAGAGAAAAAAGGGGGTCTATTCGAAACCTAGACTTGTGGTTATTTCCTCTTCACATCTGAACTTCTTTTTTGTGATGTAGTCCAGGGGGTCCCAAACTCTCACAACCCATGACCCACCTGAGTAGCTAGGAAATTTTCTGAGACCCAAGTCTATTAGTGCTCTTGCATTTTATGCTGCTTGTACAAAAATATTTTAGGGTTATTATTTTATACATAATTACACTTGTCTTTTTCTACTACCTATGCCACTATCTTCTGCGATCGACAATACTGGTGTAGTCGTTCTTACTTTGTAAAGAAAGAAATCTGGTCGACGGTTTGTTTTACTACATTGTTGAACTTACTTTTTTACATTACAATTACAATATAAACTAGCTATTTTTACACGTTTTATAAGATTAAATAAGCTAACGAGGTCCTACGTATCAGAATGCATATTATCTCCTCCAGGCGACCGAGAAATACATTTTGTTTCCTTGGTTAGTGCAATAGAGACGTTTACCTTTATATTTGAGAATAAATATTTACTAAAGGAAACGTACTATCGAGTCTTAGACATCCTTCTAATGATAAGAGTTACTAACGTTATTCTTAAGCTAAATTAAATCAGTATTTTTTATTGGTGGGAAAACGTGTATGTCATATAAACCTGTTTATTTACAAAAACACTCGTTAATACATGCATATCTTTTTTTAGTGTTCATGACATGAATATACACACTTATATAAATATGTATTCTTTTATATGAAATAATCTGGCTTTTTTTATTAAAGACATTTTATTTGAGAAACACGTATTTGTATTTACAGGTACCAACTTTGTTGGCAAGTTCACAACATCTGTTAGAAAATTAGTCCAAGAAGTGGAGTGTGGAGGTAAGTTTTTCAGTCTTGTGGTACTTATGAGTCGATAACAACCTTTCTCGTCTCCTTAGATATCTTTATTTGGTCATGAGAGCGTTTTCTTGACTCATAGATCGTGTCCTGTGTCTATCATGATTATGTGTTCTTGACACACGATACAGTTTAGATAAAAAGGGTGTGTTTTTTGATAACTCATAATTCACGAAGTATTTTTAATTAAGACAAATTTTGAAATGTGTGTATGATGAGATTTACACCGTAACTCACAAAGAATACGCCATTAAGCCAAATCATGTATTGTGTGTATGAGAAGAGAGTGTCATTGTGACTCACGAAGTTGTCGTTTCTAAGACAAATTTTGTATTCTGTGTAGTTCTATATCATAAGCTTTATATCATGACTCACGAAGTTGTTATTTCGGTAAATTAGGTATTGTGTATATGAGAAGATCGTGTCATGATGACTGACAAATATGTCTCTCCTAAGGCAAGCTTTGTATTCTCTGTATGACTAGATCATAAGATTCACATCATGACTCACGATGTAGTCATTATTTAGGTAAGTTGTATACAGGGCGTCATGACTCAAGATGTAATCTTTGCTGTCACGCGATGTGTTTGTGTGCATTATATTCCTGTCTTCAAGACAAATTGTGTTCGTGTTTTGTAAGACTAACTTGCCATTTTGACTCACACAGAATCTTCCTTGGAAAGGTTATGATGTGTGTTTTAGGCAAACGTGTACACTGAACTCGAGCACTAGAATTAATTTTGCAAGCTGTATTAGTGAAAGAAAAGTCCACTTTTTTGATCAATAAAATAAGTTTTTTTTATAAACTTGAACGTAATAGTCAGTTAATTTTAAACATCAATATTCATGCGCGAAAACAGTTAGTTTAGTTTGACTCGCAAAACGTAACTGTCAAAATATTCAAGGCTCGATTAATTCATGACACTTTACCTTTAAATCAGAGAGTCATACTTCTGTTTAGTGAGACATAACTCACGAATAATCCGGATGACATCATCAAAGGAAGTTAGTTGTCAGTTCGTAAGACAACAACTATGTTTACTTTTAATACCTCTAGAGCTGTATTTAAGTATTGTGGTAAATGTAATCCCACAGTGAGGGAAATATAGCAAAAAAAAAAAAAATCTGCTATCAGGCTAAAGGTGTTAGCAAAGGAATATTGAGTCCGAGAATTCAGGATTTTTTCTGCTCATAAAAATCAGTTTATAAAAAAATTAATAATATTTTATATACATGTATATAATATATATTTTGATGATACTTTTAATGTGATTTTAAAAGTGTAAACCTACAGAAGCTTTTAATTCAAAGTTGTTTAAAACATAAACCGGAAGAATCAGTAAGATCTGAGGAAATAGAAAGGTAGAATGTAGTAAATGGAGGTATCGAAACCAAATTTATAATTTATCCTGGCCATCTGTCCATTGTGTTAAGGAAAACGTAAGATCTGAGGAAATAGAAAGGTAGAATGTAGTAAATGGAGGTATCGAAACCAAATTTATAATTTATCCTGGCCATCTGTTCATTGTGTTAAGGAAAAAGATTTCTCAAATCCAACTTTTTAAAGCATTATCTGGAGGTAAATGGAAGAAGAAATATGGTAAGTCTCGTTTCATTGTCTGACTTTTATCGTAGCTTCCACATTAGGGTATATTTGTATACACCTGATCAGCTGTATTAAGGTTAGTCCAAAGTTATTCTGAAATATGACTCAATATCACTGTGTTAAACTTATCAGTTCAACAAAAAACTTAAAGTGTACACTAAGCATTATTTCTAGCACAGAAAAGTTATAAAAGCTGTAATATACTTTACTTACCTGTTTCAGAACACTTTATAATGTAGTAATTAAATATAACATCTGTAAGCTTGGACTACAATTTAGAAAATCTATAGCTTTTGGGAAATTATCAAATTTCTTCCAATACACTTGGAAAAGTACGAATTTTAGGATGGCAGGCCGAGAACTGGGCTTTTACAGACTAAGTTATCACAAACTTCAGTAAGGAAATAGTAGGCTAATAACTGGGCTTTTACAGACTAAGTTATCACAAACTTCAGTAAGGAGATAGTAGGCTAAGAACTGGGCTTTTACAGACTAAGTTATCACAAACTTTAGTAAGGAGATAGTAGGCTAAGAACTGGGCTTTTACAGACTAAGTTATCAAAAACTTCAGTAAGGAGATAGTAGGCTAAGAACTGGGCTTTTACGGACTAAGTTATCACAAACTTTTTAATCTAGAAACTTTAGTTCTTAGCCTACTATCTCCTTACTGTTTATCACAAATTTTAGTAAGGAGATAGTAGGCTAAGAACTAAAGTTTCTAGATTAAGTTTATCACAAACTTTAGTAAGGAGATTGTAGGCTAAGAACTAGACTATGTTTATCATAAATTTTTGTGAGATGATAAGCAGATAAGAACCAGGGTCTCTAAACTATATTTGTCATAAACAGTAAGCATTATTTTCTAGCACAGAAAGTTTATAAAAGCTGTAATATACTTTACTTATTTGTTTCAGGACATAATATAACCATTAGCAGAAAAATATCTGCTATCAGGCTAAAGTTGTCAGCAAAAAAGTATTGAGTCCAGGCCAATAATACTATGTATTTTGGCAATGCTTTTAACGAAACATTGACCAAAGAAATATATACAATTTTAGAACTTTTTTCATTTAAAGTTAATTATGCCTACGTTACTCCAGCATTTACTTCAATGTATTCAAGATACTTTAACAGTACTAAAGAATCGGAAATATTTCTATTTCAGATCACACCCGTGAAGGTGCTATCCAAACCAACGAACGTCTTCGTAATGTAACTAGTAAAGTAAGTGAATCTTATAGCAAAGTTAAATTGTTCTTAACAACACTTCATGAAAAGTACGATGCTTCCAAATCGGAACGAAATATCTTCCGTCGATATGCTTTATTTAAATCAATGATTAAGGAAGTGATTCCGCTAGACGCTCAGTACTGGAGGTTGGTGACCATTCCCAAACAAGATAAACAGGAGCAAGTCACCACGTATGTCCTCCGCGCATGTGCAGCTCTGGAAAAGATAACTGAAGCTAGACCAGCCGAAGGAACGAAAACTCAGTCTTCCAAACATGGCGAGGACGAAGCTCGAGACAGAGAAAAGAAAGCTAGGTTTGACGGTAAGTGTTTGTTATTGTCGTCTTGAAACAAAGCTAGGTTTGACGGTAAGTGTTTGTTATTGTCGTCTTGGAACAAAGCTAGGTTTGACGGTAAGCGTTTGTTGTTGTCGTCTTGGAACAAAGCTAGGTTTGACGGTAAGCGTTTGTTATTGTCGTCTTAGAACAAAGCTAGGTCTGATGGTAAATGTTTGTTATTGTCGTCTTGGAACAAAGCTAGGTCTGATGGTAAATGTTTGTTATTATCGTCTTGGAACAAAGCTAGGTTTGATGGTAAATGTTTGTTATTGTCGTCTTGGAACAAAGCTAGGTCTGACGGTAAGTGTTTGTTATTGTAGTCTTGGAACAAAGCTAAGTTTGATGGTGTTTGTTATTGTCGTCTTGGAACAAAGCTAGGTTTGACGGTAAGTGTTTGTTATTGTAGTCTTGGAACAAAGCTAGGTTTGATGGTGTTTTTTATTGTCATCTTCGAACAAAGCTAGGTTTGATGGTGTTTGTTATTGTCGTCTTGGAACAAAGCTAGGTCTGATGGTGTTTGTTGTCGTCGTCTTGGAACAAAGCTAGGTCTGATGGTAAATGTTTGTTATTGTCGTCTTGGAATAAAGCTAGGTTTGATGGTGTTTGTTATTTTCGTCTTGGAACAAAGCTAGGTTTGATGGTGTTTGATATTGTCGTCTTGGAACAAAGCTAGGTTTGATGGTGTTTGTTATTGTCGTCCTGGAAGAAAGCTAGGTCTGATGGTGTTTGTTATTGTCGTCGTGGAAGAAAGCTAAGTTTGATGGTGTTTGTTATTGTCATCTTGGAACAAAGCTAGGTCTGATGGTAAATGTTTGTTATTGTCGTCTTGGAACAAAGCTAGATTTGATGGTGTTTGTTATTGTCGTCTTGGAATAAAGCTTGGAACCTATTAGGAGTTCAAATATTTTTTTGGTTCAGCATTCAAACTCAAATGGTTATTTCAAATTATGTTGAATACAGTTTCTAAATACTGAGAAACAAACGTTTTTACTATACTTATTTCTTTATAATTTGTTTGTTTGCTTTATTGAATTCCGCACAAAGCTTCTCGAGGACAATCAGTGCTAGCCGTCCCTAATTTTGAAGTGATAAATTAGAGAGAAGGCAACTAATCAACACCATCCTCCATCAACTCTTGGGCTACTCTTAACCAACGAATAGTGGGATTGACTGTCATATTGTAACGCCCCACCCCCCACGGCTGATAAGGGCGAGCATGCTTGGTGACGGGATTTGAACCTGCAACTCACATATTGCGAATCGAATACCCTAACGCATAACAATAGGTAGTACCAGCAAGCTTTATTTATAAAAATGTATATAACCAGCTAGCTTTATTTATAACAATATAAATAACCAACAATCTTTCTTTGTAACCATGGGTGAAACCAACAAGCTTTATTTATAACAATGGGTCATGCCAGGCCTTATTTGTTCATAAAGAATCAGTTTAATTTATTTTGCAGTACACCAATTTGGTTATGGCTAATTTAATCAAACTAGTCTGTTTTCTGCTATTTCTTATTTTTATGTTGCTGCAGTTAAGTTTACCGATTCTCTGTTTAGAATAGGAACATTTTGACTGACTTAAAAGTAGGACCGGTGCGAGAGGGGGTCACCATTGCACCTCCTCAAGCTGATGCCGTCCATTAATTTGATTTTAGGTTTGGTCCCATTGCCCCCTCTCCAATTAAGAAATCCTGGAGCCGGAACTGCTTAAAAGTATGAATAAGGAGAAGTTCTCTTGTTTTGGCTTTTGTCAACTTTTTTATGTTAAAAGTTGGTTAAAACATTTTCTAAGTTTTGTTTTGTTAAAACTTAAGCACAAAGCTACACAATGGGCTATCTGTGCTCTTCTCTCCACGGGTATCGAAACCCGGTTGTTAACATTGTAAATCCGCAGATATACCGCTGTGTCACTGGGGGGCTTTTCTAAGTTTAAGTACATTAATAAAATTAACAAAATGTTTATGTTAAACATAAAGGAATTGAATATAAAAGTATTTGATTATACAAAAATACGTTGATAAAAACTACTTTTTCTTCTCATAAATATATTTTAAGGATGTCGACTCAAGTCGGTCAACATTGCTCTCGACGATGATGCGACTGCCGTGAACGTATGTTATGGGGGTCAATTGAATGACCTTAATAAAACAAATTCTATACTCTGGTTAACTATGCATCATTGATTGAGTTTAATAATGGCTGGAGACGGCTTAAATGGGTAATGAAGAAAAACTTTAATATAAG